ACATTTGTACGAGTATTTTATATTTAGGGTGGCCATTCGTTCGAGTTTCCGCGTTATCGAATTTAATGGTTAAAATGTGCAACGTATTCAAAGAGACCGATCTGGTAATGACATGATTTTGTGAATGTCGTTACACTCATTAGAGCTGGTGAGTTTCTTGCTCGGTTTTCTTATCGACCAAAAAAGTCCTGAACGAGTGGAAGAGGAAAATATGTTGGACGATTCAAAAGTATTTTTAAGTAGTCCATTTGAATTAACTGCGGATTAACGGTGGTATATTAGAAGTCCAGATTATAAGAAAATTAAATTTTTAGTTGTGATGCTTATGTCCATATACCTAAAGAACTAAAGAAAAGTAAGTTAGATTAAAAAAAAAAGAAATACAAAATGATAGGCTATTGTGATAATGGGTATAGATTGTGGAATGAAGGAAAAAGAACAGCCATTAGATATACCTAGGGATGTAATATTGAAAGTACCTACCAAGAATACGACTACGTGCAGATATGAGAATGATCAGAGTATAACTGAAATGGAAGGCAGTGAAAGAAGCTCTGAACAAGAATCTAAGATGCCTGATAGTGATAGTATGATAAAACAGGAAAGTGATGTAGTGAAAAGTTATGTGGCAAGAAATGAACGCATAAGAAAATAAAACCGACTTGTACTTAAGTCTTAAGTATATTTGTGATAAGAAAAATGAGCTCTAGATTTACTTCTTATTTTTTTAAAGTATTTTTATTCTTTTGATGTATCTTTGAACATTAAAAGAATATATCATAATAATATATTCTTTTGATGTTCAAAGATACACATAAAAAAAAATTAATCTTTAATTTCGGTAAGCTCAAAAGTAACCAAACCAAATTATTGCATTTTTCATAAGCACAGCGGACATCCAATTTTATAATTAATAATAGTTATATGAATCTTTTCTGTGGGTTTTCTAGATACGTCGGTCAAAAGCTTTTTCTTTTAAACTAGTTAATTTTTGATTTGGAACTCTTTGTTCTAATTGAAGATTTTATAAATGGTAATCTTGTGTCTATAAAAGATCCGACATATCAAGCAAAAGAATCATTGATTATACGGTGGTGTGTGTCAGTTTTCAAATTTGCTATGTACTTTGCGACAAATTGCGTTACGTTAGAAGAGTTACATTTACGTTGATTAACTAAATTCAATCCATACAATACATAGCATATAACGTATATTTGCCGACTTCCGTAACTAAATGGCTCGGCCGCTGATTTTGAGTTGTCCCGAGCTCGATTTCCTGTCAGTGAATGGTAGAAAATGAAATTTTCCAATAAAACAATATACGTACAATAGAGTTTAAATAAATGTATCTTTTTATTCATTGAAGCACCGAGTATAATATGACTTTCATTATTAGTACTAAGTCACTTGAAACCTTCATCATCATCATCATCACTGTTAGAAGTTGAATTTTCATAAATCCTGAAATAACAGTCTTTATTTCCAACCAAATAGTTAAATAGCTCGATAGCACAGTGGTAAGCGCTTTGCGATTCGATTATTAAGCGACTTTTGCAAGGGCCAATCTTAGGATGCGTGACCAAAATTTTTATATCTCATGCGTTAAGTATGTACGTTAAGCTGCATTTGCAGTTGCTAATGGCTCATTCTCCCTATTGGATTCAGGAGAGGCCTAAGCTCCTTCAGTGGGGACATTGATAGGCTGGTGATGATGATGACAGCTTTATAAATGAAGAACTTTCCTAAAAACTTACCCCATCAAGGGCCTTTTCAATGATTTCTTAGTTAGCTCACTTATAAAAGAAAACATTGTAAGAATTTTGAAATTTCTTATCCTAGCAGTTTGAGTTGTGCATTAATATGCTTTTAGGCAATTTTTCTGTTATATATTTAGAGATAATGTTCATATATATGACGGCGGGTAGTCAAAAGAGGCTATTACGAAGCCAAATTAGATCGTCCATATCGGGGGACTATCTTTAAAATAACACTGCAAGCGTGTATACCAATGTGGACTTATTCTATTTTATCACTTTTCATACGAAAATATAACGAGATGAGCGTGATGTCGTCGGATGCGATCGGAAACAGAATGTCTGCCAAAATGGTAGCTTTGTTAACGAACTATCAAAGTCAGTGTTACCATTCTAATAAAATTAAAAGTATCGATGATCACACCTTGTCTACAATCGAGTAACTAACAATTAAAAAAAAAGAAACTAAATCAAACGATCTTCGTAAAAATGATGGAGATATTCTGCGACATATATAAACAATATTTTTACGTTACCTATTCAAACTTGAGTCTATAAATGTATACTAATAGCCATTTCTGAATTGTAGACAGCATAGTGACGCAACAATAACTTATTCCACGAAATCTGATAATAATTCAATAAATGTATCTGTACATGTCCATTTGTCGTCCGTGCCAACATTTTATGTTCCAGATTAGAAATCCCAT